AAAAAGAAAAATGCAAATAGCCCTGGCCAGTGTGGCTCAGTTGGTTGAGAGTTTTTCCATTCACCAAGAGGTCACTGGTTAGATTCCCAATCTGGGGTACCGACTCAATCCCCCTGCAGAGTGCAAGAGGCAGCTGATTGAGTCACATTGATGTTTCTCTCTCTCCTTCTCCCTTCCTTTATCTCTAAAATCATTACAAAGATATCTTTTTAAAAATGCAAACATTTTTCTCCTTTTTCCAATTACCAAGTAGCTAAAAATGTATCCAAGACAGTAATTAATATTGAGTAAAAATCCTTAATTACTATAATTAAGGTTTGTCAGAATGATAGTTATTAGGTTAAATGCTGATTAATTATTAAAATATAGGTTTTTCCAAAAAAATATGTTTGAATCAATTGTAACTGGACAACAAAGAGGTTCAGGCTGCCTGTCACTACTTGAGCCAATTAAGCAGAGACAGGGTTGAATCATATCTGAGCATTTATTCCAAAATGCCATTGTATGGGAGAGCAGCAGGTCATCCAAAAAAAATCTGCTGTGTCCCTCCCATAAGCCAGCTGCTCATATTGGATAGGAGGCAAAGATTATGTGGGAGAGTAAGAATACCAAGCATAGGCAAGTAGGCAAGGTATAATGGTTACAGGTCACAGGCAATGCAGGTGGGGGAGGTGTTGCCCAGGGAGGGTGCCTCTGGGCACCTCCAGGACCAGATTTCAGGCAAATAGGGGCTGGGCGTTACAAAGGGTAGGTGCTTCCAGGACTAGATCGTTCCAGCGATGAGGTTGTACATCTTTCCATAATGTAGGCAGTTCTTGGAAAATGATGGACCACATTTTGATATTAGCTCCCATGTCCCAGGGCATACAACTATCAGCCAGATTAGAATGTGCTTTCTCTAACCAGAAGAGAACAATCCTGGTTAAGAGAGCTTGATTAATATTTCTTATAATTGTATCTATTTTTCAATATTCTATTGCTGCCCCTAACACAATGACATAGAACTGCTATCTAGAAAATATGAATTAAGAGTCTCCTTTGTATCCTACACTATCTTTTGATGATGGGGAGGTTCACTCTGATTATGCTGTTGAGAATATATTTCAGAGTGACCTTGCTAGGAGGAGGACATCTGGATACAACTGGTTTCCAGTCCTATAATTTGGAACAAGAGAACACAACACAACCACAGGACACTGAGTTCTGTCTGACTTCTGTGGTCTAATAATAAATGCTTGGAGTAAGAATCTACATATCAGAATTGTTGATTTGGGATACTTGAGCTTTAGAAAGAATTTGAGCTCCTCCTAGTTCAGTATCCCCTTCTGCTGAAGACAACATTGCTGCTGGATACCCCTTGCAGAGATTTTCTTTAGGAATTAATACAATGAATAGAAAGAACCCTTGGCCCAACCAATTCTATATGGCACCTGTTTTCATTTTCCGAGTCTTCCTTGGGACAGTGATTGTAGCAATAACATATCTATAATAATTTATGAACATTACATGTTAGTTCTTGGAGTAAGAAAATAGGGTAAATATGGACATTCTTTAAAATTATATAGTGTAAGGTTTACAGCAGTAGTTTTAATTAATGGTTTTTGCTTAGCTGCTGCTATTGTGAAAATGCTCATTTAGGGATTTTGTTTCTACTATCTTCAGTCCTTAGTAAATGCCAGTTAGTGACAATGTTTTTGCAAGTGGTCTGAGATGGCAAGCCACTATCACTTACAGGCAATTTGGTCTTCATTACAAATTAATGAAGTGATAATTGCTCTCTGCAACCTTTTACATTCAAAGTATTGTGGTGCTGTTTGTATTATCTTTCTGAGATTTATACCTCTGCATTCAAGGACTTGTGATAGCTTGCTGAATTAGTATTGAGAGGAAAATTGTTAAACCAGAGTGAAAGCTCCATAATTAAAATAATAGTTTACATCAAATTATGAAAATTTCTCTATAATTTCTTCTTTGTTTCATGTCCAGTAAAAATGCTGCTCATACATAGCAGAAGAAATTTGCAATCGGTTCATCAAAGTACAAACTCTTATTTATTCTGAAAAGGAAATCTTGACCTAAATTTTTTAAGTTAATTGGTTTATTTTAAAATAATGATGTCCATGATCTAACTTTCTTTAAAATGTCCACAGAAAACATTTACTCTCTGGGGTTTTTGTTGGCTCTGTCTTTATAGTGCCTTTGGAGAGCCAATGTGATGACCATAGAAGTGATTCCACATCATAATGACCTTTCAACAACAGAGTATCAGAGTTATGGGGAACACCAACTCTGTTCACTCTTTTCTTTCTTTCTTTTTTTCTTATAATTTTTTGATCCTCACCTGAAGATACACTTATTAATTTTAGAGAGGGGGGAGGGGGGAGAGAAAGAGAGAGAGATGAGAGAACATTGATTGGTTGCCTTCCATACTGAGGATCAAACCCACAACCTTGGCATGTGATTTGCCTGGGAATCAAACCGGCAACCCTTCCTTATGCAGGTCGATGTGCTAACCAACTGAGCCACACCAGTCAGGCTTTTTAATTTTATTTTTCTGGTATTAAACATATACATTAATTTTGCTTAAAATATGACTATACTATTATAAGCATTTCAGTGTAAAATCCTGAGGATTGAGAATCTCATGCACAGTTTTCTTCTTAAAATTTCATAGAGTGGATGGTGAGAAATGGTGTATTGTTGATTAGTAAAAGCACAGTGTGAATATTTTATTTTCTTATATTAAGATAATAGTATAAACCTGTCTTATATATTAATTCTAAGGTTTTCTAAAATAGTCCAAACTTGTTTCTTTGTTGGACCTAAGTCAAAACAATTTTGTCTCCAGAAAATTAATGCCTTTTTTATATTTTAGATCTTGAATGATTGAGATTATTAAAATAAGTAGTGCTTTTTAAGTTTTTTGTTTTTGTTTATTTTTAGTTTTGTAGGAGAGGTAAGGAGAATAAGAATTATTTTAACTGTATTAATGGTGGTCCACAAATTAGTTTTGTTAATTTAAACACCCTAATGCAAATAATTTATTTTTCTAATTAGGTCAAAGGCCAAATAAATGTCATATTTCTTTTCTTGTGGTTATCATCAATTTCATCTTATTTTGTGACTAAAAGTTATGGATTGAAATTAATTTCGATGTGTTTTTAATAAATACATATAGAAAAAATGTTAATACACCTTAAGTGCCATTGATTTTGTTTAAAGGTAGGTAAACTTGCCATTCCCTTAATGGAGAAAAACTTATAATACGTTTATATAGGAGTTCACAAGGATTGTGTTTGTTTATTTATTTAAAAATTAAGATATATTATCTAATAAGAACCTTATATGTGTTACTTCCTTGAATTATTTCTACATGTATTATAAGAAAAAAAAATGTATGCATCTTCCAAAAGGTGAAGTTTTATGTTGCATACTGCCGAGGATATGAAGAGGTCTAAAATTTAGCAAAGGCAATGAAGCAAAACTAAACTTACCTTAACATGTTTTATGAATTAAATGTGGTATTTAATAAGGGTTATATAATGCATTCTTATGTAATAAGAATTAGTGAGGTATGGAAGGCATCAAGGAGAAAAGAGCACAATCCAGTTGGGTAATACCATACACAAAATAACGATCAAATGTATATTTAAAAACAGTGAAAGAGTTCATTTTGATGAGAAGATGGTATGTGCATAATGAAAAATAATTCACTAATCTCAATTCAGACTTCTAACAAAATCTAAATGTAGGTTAGCACCAATTTTTGGAAAAACAGAAATGTCAAACCAGAGTTATGCATAGGTAACGGGGAGCCTTTGAATTCAAGAATGTCATGGTAAAAATTGTACTTTCTGGGCAGCAGTAGGCAAAACTGTTATAATCATGGAGTTGTAAGTAACACAAACTATCTGATACCAACTTAAAAGCTTCTCAAAACCTGCTCTAAAAAGGCTCAAACATTTTAAATGTTTTTATAATAAAAACATTTGTATTAGGGTAGCCCAAACTGCTATAACAGCGACAACCCAAATTGCCATTTATTTTTTTTCTTGTGTAAAATTCAATGTGGGTAAAAGATATTAAGAATTAAAATGTTTACTACCTAAATGTTTACTATCTTTTGTTCTCTGTGCATAGCTATTTTATCTTTTATTTTGGGTCAAGAAGAATGGATGCTTATAGTTTTACTTCAAGTTTTCTCTCATAGTCCACCATCACTATATTAAAAATGTTATACATGAAGACACATGGTCATAGCATTATTTAGATTTACTTTGGTTTTCCATTTACTGATTTTTACCAAAATTTGGCCAAAATTGGGAGAAGATTAATTTAGGCAGTCATATTTTTTCATTCTTTTTAATAACAAAAACAAAAATCCAAAAACATACAATAAAACCATCTTATAGTGTTATTGAAGATGCCTGAGTTGAGCGTTTTGTTTGTTTGTTTGTTTTAATATATTTTTATTGATTTCAGAGAGGAAGGGAGAGGGAAAGAGAGATAGAAACATCAATGATGAGAAAGAATCATTGATTGGCTGCCTCCTGCATGCCCCACACTGGGAGTCCAGCCAGAAACCCAGGGATATGGCCTGGCCAGGAATTGAACAGTGACTTTCTGGTTCATAGGTGGTTGCTCAACCACTGAGCCATGCTGGTCTGACTGAGTTGAGGTTTTAATGCTGGAATATTTTGTGGTTTAATCAAACACTAAGCAATGTTTTCCCTGAATGTTCTGTGAACTTTAATGCAATTCACATGTATTCATCAAAATTGTAAATTATTTGTGTCGATGAATTCAGAGAACTTTGCAAATAAAAGATCAAGAATGTTATGGTGTTGCTACATCATGACCTTTAATGAGCAACACTAAAGTTTCAGCTTATTTATTTTGTATTTTCTGTGACACCATTAGCACCCTCATCTCGTTTATTATTTATTCATTATTCTTAACTTATTAATTGCCTCTTTTTTGTTTCTCCTCTGATTCTTCAGTGGGAAGAAATCAGTGGTGTTGATGAGCATTACACACCCATCAGGACTTACCAGGTGTGCAATGTAATGGAACATAGTCAAAATAATTGGCTGAGGACCAACTGGGTCCCCAGGAACTCAGCTCAGAAGATCTATGTGGAACTCAAGTTCACTCTACGAGACTGTAATAGCATCCCGTTCGTTTTGGGAACCTGCAAGGAGACTTTCAACCTGTACTACATGGAGTCTGATGACGATCATGGGGTCAAGTTCCGAGAGCATCAGTTTACAAAGATTGACACCATTGCAGCTGATGAAAGTTTCACGCAAATGGATCTTGGGGACCGTATTCTTAAACTCAACACTGAAGTTAGAGAAGTAGGCCCTGTCAACAAAAAGGGATTTTACTTGGCTTTTCAAGATGTTGGAGCTTGTGTTGCCTTGGTGTCCGTGAGAGTGTACTTCAAAAAGTGCCCATTTATAGTGAAGAATCTGGCCATGTTTCCAGACACAGTACCGATGGATTCTCAATCCCTGGTGGAGGTTAGAGGTTCTTGTGTTAACAATTCAAAGGAGGATGATCCTCCTAGGATGTACTGCAGTACAGAAGGTGAATGGCTTGTACCCATCGGCAAGTGCTCATGCAATGCTGGCTACGAAGAAAGGGGTTTTATGTGCCAAGGTAAGTCCTCCCGATTTTCCTTAAAGTGGTATTTCTCACCTGCGAGTTTATCGTAGAGTAATTGAAACAAATTAACTAAACCTATGCTCACTTGGCAGCCAAACATGCCTTAAACAGAACAGAGTCTATATATAGACTAAGTTTATTCCACTTGATGTGTTGATTCATCGTTTATTTTAGAAATATTAACATGTTTGAGCATGTGGTGCTGGCGTATACCCCACTAGAGGTGTAACTTCTGCTATTTTTAAGTTTTCCCTGCTATTTAATGACTATGGAAATGAAACTCTAAGAAAAAAATAATCCCCTGTCATTTTCATGTTGAAAGAAGAAACATCATTGATACTCGGGCAGGTAAGTTAATTCTAACAGAATTAGAACGCGTGCTGACTAGGTTTGTGTTCTTATGTCTCATAGTAGAATGTATTATATTGCTATAAAATTAGTCTTTTCTTATACATTAAAATTTTAAATGTAGAAATGCATAGGAATGCTTAAGTACCTAGTCTGTAGAATCTAATCTGTTTTAACACTTTCGTTTCCTATTACACTATGCCAAAGAAGTTGAGTTTGGTATTATTCTTAAGGCCATTCAGTAAACCTCAAGTCCACAGGGAAGAAATTATTATACTTTATATATAAATTTACCTTTCTAACAATCTGAATGGAACATAGCATTTTGCTTTTGACTACAGATATAGTTTATAGAAAAAAATTTTAATGGGAACAAATGGTACATTCTAGCCTCATACTTCTTGGTATTATTTAGATCCTTGGTGATCACCATTAGAATACTGTTACTAAGGATAGTTTTGAAATTTCTAAAATTGAAACAATATACTAGCTACTGCTTGCTTATATACATGAGTAGAGGGAACACTCCATAGCTTCATTATCCACTTGTATTGTGTTTTATTATCATAGTATTATTTGTGATATATGATGTTTCTGAGATTAATTTTAAATGAAATGATTAAGACCTAGCTGAAGAGGAATTAAATATTCTCTAATTTCTCACCTTCACTAATTTCATCCCTATGGAACCAATCTCTGATACTCATACCAGGAGAGGAATCATGTGTCTCCATTTTAATAATATGTATCGATTTAAACAAAGATATCTCATAAAGCATTACATTCAGCAAGAAATCTAATCATTAGATGTTTGGATTTTAAATAATTTTATATAGTGCTTTATATCTCAAAAAGAATTAAAAGAAATAGAAAAATAAGTATCAGTGAGATAAATAGAATCACATAAAAGTGATAATAGAAATAAAAGATTCAAATTATCAGCTCATTACACATACTGACTTGAAGACAACTTTAGAAGAATATTTTTAAAAAAGAGTAATGTTAAGTGGTATTCAGAAAGTTCACAATAAATTCAGAATTGCTATTATTTTACTAACTGCATCTTAATTTACCGAACCACTTTTTTAAAAGTTACTATGCTATTCAGTGATGCTCCATGTCAAATTATTCCTAGAGAACACATTGATGTCAGTTTTACATCCTTGAATTATGTACTTTATTATATTGAAGGACATCACAGCACCTCTTTGATATAAAAAATACTATATTGTTGCAGACTTTCTTGACGTTTATAAATACTAGTATTAGAATAAGACATGCATATGCTTAAATACAAACTATTCTAAGAAAATATATTGGAAATAAACTAATAACAATAATTTTAGTAGAAGTGAAGATGATGTGTGAAATGGGATGTGACTGGAATTTAAAAAGGGATGATTTTTCAGTCATGTAATTTGAAGGTGGAGCATAGACTTACAGTTATTTGTTGACATTTGCTAATTTATCAAGTTCTCAACACCTTGATTCTGTAATTGTGTAGGCCAGCTTGGCTTGAGGCTTGTAATTTTGCTATTGTTGTCAGTGATGGTGCTGGTGTTTGTTATGGTTTCCTTTCTTAATTTTTAATTTTATGGTTGGTTTTTAATAAGATTGTGGGCTGGTCAGAAGAGCTGGCTATGACTCTCACAAATCAGTGTTTGATCACAAGTACTTCAGGCACACAGAGACATGGTAATGCTTCAAAAAGGTAAACATGACAAAATAGCTAAACGTGTGTTTCATTAGTTGTTCATTTTGTTGTTTTTTGTTTACAAAAAATCATGTCACTCTTTTGAAAAGTAATCATAGCCTTTTAATTGACTAAACCAGAAGAAAATGAGACTCCTTCACTTTATTTCAACAACTTTAATGAGAACGTACTTCATGCTTTTAATTGACTAAAACAGAAGAAAATGAGACTCCACTTTATTTCAACAACTTTAATGAGAACGTACTTCATTCCAAGCACTGTAGTAACAATTCAGACTTTTTAAACATTCATTAAGCACTTAGGAGATGCCAGACACTGTGCTGACTTGTTAAGTAATATTTATGAGTTACTTCATTTTTCCTTTGAAATTACCTATTGATACATACTGTTATTATCTCCATTTTTAAATGAGAACAAAGCTTTGATAGTTTAAATGTCTTGCCTTAAGTTCCTTAATAAGTGAGTGTGAGAGTTGAGATCTGAAATTAGGCAGTCTCATCCCAAGGTCTGCAGTCCCAACCTCAACCCACAAGCTTTCCTATGATTCAGTCCAGTGGTGACAGAGACTAGGAAACCCCCAGGACACAAATTCCACTGGAGTTACAGTTCTGTATATTGAAGAATGAGTAGGGCCGCAAAAAGTTGGCGCAAAGTAACTAAGGATCTGTTAATATAAGGTTTATCTATTTCAGTATATTTCCCAGATTTTTCTGTTTCTAGATTTTTAAGAAAGAAGAATTGCTAGCCAAAATGCCATATTATGGGAAAATGAGGTTTGGCCTAAGTTAGTAAAATCTGGATATGTGGATTGTCATGCACTTTAGATATGCATAAAATATCTGCCAAATTTAACTCAATAAGTGTTTTTGACCATCTATTAATACAAATTAATAATGTGCCAGGCATAGGGGAAACATGGATAAGTAAGTCATTTTATCTACCTTCTAGGAGCTCACAATCTAGTATGAAAGACAGATACATAAGTGGATAATTTTAGCGCAAGACAGACCAATAAATCTTCTACCAGGGGTACAGAGGTGCTTTGGTAAATAGGGAAAGAAGATATTAATTTTGAGTATTTCAAAATTATTAATGGAAATTGTTCATTTATAATGAGAAACCTTTGCACTGAGATTTCAGACCCTTTACTATTGTGTTTAGAAAATTTTGGGGTAAAGTGAAAGAGCTAATCACCTTACACAGCTTATACATTTCAGAAGTTGAGTTTTATAATTTGTTTATTGAGTCATTATCTCAAAATGTGGAAAATTCCCATTAGAATTCTGGCTATTCCACAGGGAGGCCTTACAGAGGGTTTACATTTCATAACATAGTTATTTTATGACATCAAATGAAATATTTTGAATTATCTGTCTCACTCTAGACAGATGTTGGGACAGTTATTAAATTATGAAAACGTGACAATCTCTGTTTGATTGGAAAATTATATTGATAAAAATATTTTGTTTTCAAAAAACTCATCCATTACTTTCAGAGCTATAAGAAAAACCAAAATTGTCTTTGTATAGGACTATAGTTCTAACTAAGGTGTTATCTACCCTCATACATAATGCAAACTTTCACAATAGCCCACTTATTCCTAAAATGAGAAAAAGTAAAATCATATGGTATTTGTCTTTCCCTGGCTGGCTTATTTCACTAAGCATAATGCTCTCCAGATCCATCCTTTCTGTCCCCAAAAGTAAGATTTCCTTTTTTTTACGGAAAAGTAGTATCCCATTGTGTACTCGTACTATAGCTTTTTTATCCACTCATCTGATGGCCACTTAGGGTCCTTTCACATCTTGGCTATTGCAAATAATGCTGCAATAAACACAGGGGTGTATATATTATTTTGAATTAGTGTTTCAGGTTTCTTTGGATATATAACCAAAAATGGAATTGTTGAGTGACAAGGTGGTTCCATTTTTAATTTTTTGAGGGAACTCCATACTGTTTTCTATAGTGGCTGCACCAATGCAAGAAGGTTCCATTTTCTCCACATACTTGCCAGCACTTGTTGTTTGTTGATTTATTCATGATAGCCATTCTGACAGGTCTGAGGTCAATCTAATGAACAAAATAAACAAAGCAACAAAATAGAAACAGACTCATAGAAAAAACTACAGACAGACAGCTGTCAGAGGAGAAGGGGGTATGGGACTGAGTGAAAAAGGTGAAAGGATTAAGCAAAAAAACACAAACAAACACACACAAAAAAACCTCATAGACACAGACAACAGTATGATGATTTCCAGGGGGGGAGGGGAAAGAAGATAAAAGGAGACAAATGGTGACAGAAGGAGATTTGATTTGGGGTGGTAAACACTAATACAATAAACAGATAAAGTATTGTAGAATTGTGCATGTTAAACCTATAATTTTTAACCAATGTAACACCAATAAATTAAATAAAAATAAAAAGTTTAAATGAGAAAAAGTAGATGAAAGTATCCTTTAATCATTTATTCAGTTATTGAACAGTTATTGAACCTCTAATATGTGCTAAATCCTATTAGACATTAACAAAGGAAGATGAACATTATGACTGCTAAATTATTTTGGTTGTTTAAAAATATGAGGTTGTGTGTGTGTGTGTGTGTGTGTGTGTGTGTGTGTGTGCGCATGTGCATATATGAGTGAATATGTGTCTTAAAATGTAAAATGTTTTGGTCTCTGTCTCCAAAAGAATATAGATTTTTAGCTGAATTATAAACAGAGCTAAGTTAATAATAGACTGAAGCAAAGGTATTAGTATTGTTGAGGAAGGAGATATTGATAAGGGAGGACATGAGTGATGGGAAATTAATATTTTCTGCAATAAATGCTTTATGTTGCTGGCCTCTTTTCTTTGCTATCGAAGAAACATGAGAATCTAAGAGTAGAAAATGCAACTTTCTCTTTCAAGGATTGGTTGGAGGAATAAAATGGG